GAGACAGAGAGAGAGACAGAGAGAGACAGAGAGAGAGATAGAGAGAGAGACAGAGAGAGACAGAGAGAGAGATAGAGAGAGAGACAGAGAGAGACAGAGAGAGAGAGAGAGAGAGAGAGAGAGAGAGAGAGAGAGAGAGGGAGAGAGAGAGAGAATGAATCTTCACCATATTTTTGCTAAGTGATGTACTTTAATAACAATTGTGCTGGTGCCTTACGCTCCACTTACAGGTGGACGCTGAACTATAAAGTATGGTAAATTATAGATCCCCCGAGCGTGATATGCTATAATTAAAACTTAATGCCAGGGGAGCGTGAGTCAGGACAATTAACAATAGCAGGTGCCTAAGGCAGCCCAACTAACAGCCAAAGGTGAACGAACCCGTGTAATTTAACAACCACAGGTGCACGAACCCGTGTAATTTAACAGCCAAAGGTGCACGAACCCGTGTAATTTAACAGCCACAGGTGCAGGAACCCGTGTAATTTAACAGCCACAGGTGCACGAACCCGTGTAATTTAACAGCCACAGATGCACGGCTACACTGCAGACAACATCCCACAGGAGCCTGAACAAACAACACAAAACAGATGCACGATACAGAGTTAACAGCCACAGGTGAGAGAGACGGTTAACAGCCAGAATGGCGTGAGAGGCCGCAATTAGCGAGCGCCGTTGCGTGAGAAGAGCGACAGCAGCTGAAGGCGCGTGTGGGAAGAAACAGGGGCGCCACCACCAACAGGTCAACGGTAATAACAGACTGGGAAAGGTATCACAAAGGTATCACAAAGGGGTGGCTTTCCCAAAACAAATCCCCTAGACCAAAAGAGGAATCCCGCTGCTAGATGGAGCCAAGGTGCGGGGGGTGTCATCAGTGGCCCGCCAGAGGAAGCCAAGTTATAACTGGTTGATACCTGGTTGACAACGACAATTTTCACTGATAACAAAGACAACTACCACTGCTACCACCATAACAACAACTACTAACTATTATTATCACTAACCTATTACTATTGCTTGATTTACAAAGAGCTATTATTAGAACATTTGATTCCGTTAAAACTTTTCTTTCCGACGTCCCCAACAGTGACGTCACCAACAGTGACGTCAACAACAGTGACGTCAACAACAGTGACGTCCCCAACAGTGACGCTTGTTACGGTGACGTTACTGCCCATCGCTCACCATTCTGTTAATGTCTACACCGTTCTCCTTGCCTTGATCTTTATCCTACTTTTTCACACCTCAGATTCTTCAGGAGAGAAGCCATCTGAATGTCCGTGCGTGCGTGTGTGTGTGTGTGTGTGCGTGTGTGCGTGTGTGCGTGTGAGAGAGAGAGAGAGAGAGAGAGAGAGAGAGAGAGAGAGAGAGAGAGAGAGAGAGAGAGAGAGAGAGAGAGAGAGAGAGAGAGAGAGAGAGAGAGAGAGAGAGAGAGAGAGAATCCAATGACTTCGGAACTATTTCCGTGTCATATCTACTTTACATGATACTACATATCTATCATAGTTATGAGTGGGGGTTTACTTCCACACTCTCCTCCTTCAGTTCATACAGTTTTCTCACTACTCTTACGCTACAGTAAACTTTTCTAGCATCTCTGTGACTCGTCTGGGTCTATAAGTTCCCATCCATGGCCTCTTTCTTGTTCTACTGTGGTGTTCAGTGTGAACACTGCTTCATTTTCCACTGTCAGTCTCTCTAAGTGTGGCAATGTGGATGCGCTCCTAATGATGCGGATGTGTTACTAATACTGTGGATCCACCACTAATAATGTGGAACTATAATGTTTAAATAAAGGCGATATAGTGCTGTTGGACTTAACAGTGAACACATTGATGTAAGTCTGATGCTAATTAGCCCAGTAGCCTATTGTCGACTGAGCGTAATAACGCGACCTAGCAAGTAGGCCTACACACCTTGTATTAACACTCCCTTTCGTAATATAAACATATTATAATCATGTCACCTTCATGTCGCTCACGCAATACGCGTGTATCTCAGCGTCCGCAGAGAGCTGACAACTCCTACCTAAGGTTTACATTCCTGTCTCAAATATTTATGTTGTCGATGTTGATGTTTTGGTGTTAATACTCCAGCTTCTAACACTAATTTCATTCATTCAGATTATCAATTTCATTCATACATATGATCATTCATCCATAGAGAGGGCGTTCGTGCGTGTCGCTGGAGACAACATAGGTGGGTTGGGGGGTTACGAAATCGCACATAATACGGTTCAACAAAGCTCATTTTCCGGGCCAAAATTCATTAGATATTCGTACAACCACTTTACGAAACCTGTCCATCTTGCCCTTAATCACGGCGGCTTTTGTTTACATTTATTAAATAGTTTTAGACCTTCAAAACTTCACAATTCTTAGTTATTATTGTTATATAAACAGCCTCATAATCTTCAGAGGTGATAAACTGCATTATAAATGTAAACAAAGCCACCATGATTGAGAAAAGATGTACAGGTTTCGTAGGTGATTGTGTAAAAAATGTTTAATGCCCCCCCCCCTGTTCCTGACTGTTAAACTTGTATATATATATATCACTAGGTATGGGATCTTATCTATAAGCGTACGTGTAGGCCGTTAGGTAGGGTTTCAAATCCATTGTATCCGTTGAAGAGGGTGGGGTGGGGGCAGGGGTTAGGGGTGGGGGCAGGGGTTAGGGGTGGGGAGTAGGGGTTAGGGGTGGGGGTAGGGCATAAGGGTAGGGGGTAAGACAATGGCAGCCTACAGGTATAATGCGAGGCTGTGGTCCTGTAGCGACCCCTACCATTTTCACTCTTATATCCGTCTCGTCTATTCTTGTAACTTGCTAGGCTATTTATTTATCTTCACTGACGCTGCTCGGCACATTCTTCACAACCCATTCACAACTGTTTTACCAAGCAACATGCTTACCAACCTTACATTACCAAGCAACATGTTTACCAACCTTGCATTACCAAGCAGCATGCTTACCAACCTTACATTACCAAGCAACATGTTTACCAACCTTGCATTACCAAGCAGCATGCTTACCAACCTTACATTACCAAGCAACATGTTTACCAACCTTACATTACCAAGCAACATGTTTACCAACCTTACATTACCAAGCAACATGTTTACCAACCTTGCATTACCAAGCAACATGTTTACCAACCTTACATTACCAAGCAACATGCTTACCAACCTTACATTACCAAGCAACATGTTTACCAACCTTACATTACCAAGCAACATGTTTACCAACCTTACATTACCAAGCAGCATGTTTACCAACCTTACATTACCAAGCAGCATGTTTACCAACCTTACATTACCAAGCAGCATGTTTACCAACCTTACATTACCAAGCAGCATGCTTACCAACCTTACATTACCAAGCAGCATGTTTACCAACCTTACATTACCAAGCCCATGCTTACCAACCTTACATTACCAAGCAACATGTTTACCAACCTTACATTACCAAGCAACATGTTTACCAACCTTACATTACCAAGCAACATGCTTACCAACCTTACATTACCAAGCCCATGCATACCAACCTTACATTACCAAGCAGCATGCTTACCAACCTTACATTACCAAGCCCATGCTTACCAACCTTACATTACCAAGCAACATGTTTACCAACCTTACATTACCAAGCCCATGCATACCAACCTTACATTACCAAGCAGCATGTTTACCAACCTTACATTGTTTCTCAATTTGCATTTAATATTGTTAAATAATTGAACACAAGGTGATTATTTAACACGTTACGGACAGTAATGAAGTTTGTCACGAAAGGACAACTTATTTGATTTACAATTATCGGATTACAAAGGTGTAATTCAAAGATCAAAATAGCCACAGATGGTTGTGCATGGAACACCAGGTGAACACCAGCAGTTCACGCCGTCACTAATCATCGTTCAGAATGCCAGATATACAACTCCCGTTGTCGGGGACAGGAAGCTTGTGTGTGTGTGTGTGTGTGTGTGTGTGTGTGTGTGTGTGTGTGTGTGTGTGTGTGTGTGTGTGTGTGTGTGTGTGCGTGTGTGTGTGTGTGTGTGTGTGTGTGTGTGTGTGTGTGTGTATTCACCTAGTTGTGCTTGCGGGGGTTGAGCTCTGCTCAATATGTAGGAGCAATCAGCATTTTACAGTGGTAAGGTCAGTAAACTGTTCACAAGCCAGCTGCATATTACTGCCTGTCGACTGTGAACTAGTGACCCGTTTACTGTGCACGACTGTGCTGGAGGTAGACTCCTGAACTGGTTGGGCATCGTCCACCTGCAAATAGCCTTGTGTGCTGGGGGGATAAGTCGCTTGTCTGACTCTTAGTCAAACTAGTCATAACTTTATATGAAAACATGAAGATGAAATTACGAAAAATGTGTCAACTCTTAGCATTATGTTCAACGGGACTATTGAGGTCTTGGATGGATAAGTAGTGACGAGCCATTAGGAAAAAATATCGATCAAGTCGACTGTTATTAAGTTCGTTTCGGTTATTCGTCAGTGGGCCGATGTCAACCCTTCACGTTCAAGTATGTGAGTTGTTATCTTTAAAATAAAAAGTTCACTACAGCATCACAAACACTATTGTTGTGGGGTTGTGTCGTGGCCTTACTAATGTGTCCTGACCTTACTAATGTGTCCTGACCTTACTAAACAGTTTTCATGGACCATGACAACAATTTCATAAACCATTTTAACCGGGCAAGATTCGTGGTGTTCATAATATCCATTTCCCACTTAAAACTTATCGAGTAATAAATGTATTCCAGTTCAATGTTAACACAAAATACATCAAGTGACTTACACGCTTAAGCTAGTAATATTCCTCGTGTATTATTGACTATCAGGTGTTAATGAACTTATGAATTAAAACAACTTATTCCTTAATAATTCATTAATCATAGAAACGGAAATGAGGTCAAGCAGCAGAACGCAGTCCACTCCAGGTGTTAATGTTACAGGTGAGGTAGGTGCCTAGGTGGCTGGCTGACCACCTACCACTTGGCTGCTCATCCTCTTTCTGCTTCTGCTGCTGCTGCTGCTGCTGACTGAAGGGGGAGGAGCGCGGACCGCCAGGACTGCTGCTGCTGCTGCTGCAGGGCTGAATGCCTCGCTGAAGCCCCGCGCTGACCACTGAACCTGAGGCCTTCAACTTTGTGCCGCCTACTGCTACTCCACTCCGCAGCGGCCCCGCACCCAGCCCTAACAGGGAGAGGCGGAAGTGGGCCGCAATCTCATTACCTACCCATCATAAGGGAGAGCAAGTTAGACATGGCGGTCCGGCCTGGCACCTCGGGGACCTCTATTGCATGACCTGACCTTCTTACCCCATGAGGAGTGCAACACTACTTGTTGGTTTTGACTTTGAATATTTTGGAGGGGGGTTTTTTCATTGATGTCTTATCCGCTAGGGGCATCCAACATTGGGGCTGTTATTTGCTCTGTGGGCACAACTCGTACTAACAGAGAGAGGAAATTATACATGTGTGGTTGGCTATAACCTTTAGCCGTAACAGTCAAATGCCAGGACAAGGGATTGGGGATGATAAGGGAGGGAGGGTGATGAATGTCACCCTGGGATTGTGTGGGGGTGACATTCTAGAACAAATCGGTGAATGCTAAATTGGGTCACATGTCAAGACAAAGGAATACAAGGAACAAGTAAGCGTGCGGGGACCTACCTGTGGGAGGTTTTGAAGACCCGTCGAAGGACCACACTCGGACGGGGTGATGTTTAGCAGAGTCCTTGTAGTTGGGGTTGACGGGGGCGGCTGGCAGGGACTCTCCTCGCGTGAGTGTGGGTCTGTGCCCCTCCTCCAGCATGGGTCGCTTGGGCACACTCCCCTCGCTGGGGCTCTGGGCGTCGTCTCTTTCGAAGGATCTTTTTTGAGGCGCCGAGCCTGATGAGGATCCCGGGGCTCCTGGTGGGCGGGAGTGTGGGGGCGGCAGGGGCGGGTGGGCGGCGAGGTGGGCGGGCGGCCTTACCAGGGAGGGCGCATGAGGGTCCTCACGGTGGGCCAAGCCAGCAGGGAAGGCCGCCAGCATGTGTGGCCCACGCTGGCGAACGTCCCCTGAGACAAAGGCGACTCCCGGGCCACCAGGGGGAGGCAGGGGCGAAGGATGGCCGTGGGAGTGGGCGTGGGAGTGGGACCCAGACTGGGAGTGGGACCCAGGCTCCATTTTGATGCCGCCCTCAAGCTTGAGGGGGCCGTGATGGGCACCGTTCTGAGCCTCCATAGGCACACGCTGGTGCGGCTTGGCAGGTCCCTGACGGCTTTCGTTAATACCGTGAGCTCGTTTCATCTGTCTGGCTGTCTCTATCACCAAGTCTATTCTGTCAGCGCCCTCATAGTTGACGCACCCACGGCAGACGGGCTCGGAGAAGTCGTGCAGCATGGCCCAGGGCATGCGGGGCAGGTCGCACAGGTAGCAGTGCTGCCGCTGGCTCCGGTAGGACGACATAGCTCCTCGGCTCTCTGACAACATTCACCGCACTGTTAAACTTGCACTCCACTAGACACGCTAGACTATCACTTCAATATTTCAAACAAAGGTTGCCACTTTAGGCGCCTGAGGTACGGTGTGAGCGCCAAGTGGGTGGCGGGGACGTTCCTAGAACACACTGATGACGCAGCTGTGTGAGGTACTCCTTAAGACGCGAGTCGTAGCACATTACCCAAGAGCGGGCGGGCGGCGCGCGAGTGTCAGGGAGAGAGAGGCGTCATAGCCGTGCGTCCAGATAGACGGGTTTTCTCAGACTGAGCGCCGCGTCTGGTTGACTGCGAGGCGAACACACGCACGCACGGACGGTGACGTAGCGGTGACGTAGTCAGTACGCAGACTCCGGCCGGGTGGAGGGACGGGTGGGCGGGCCAGCCAACAGCCAGCCAGGCAGGCGGGAGGCACGTCGCTCCTGCCACACACTACCCGCCTTCCATCTCTTACACAACGCACCACACACACCTCCTTAACAACACAACACTCGGGTTATTTGCACTATAAACACGGCGCTATTGTTGTCTCGTAACCTCCTCTGGCGGGTGTGATGTGGCGGAGGTGAACTGGTGTAAAACCAAGACACAAATAGCAAGGAGTCACGGAGTGCAGCAGGTCGGGCGAAACCTTGGCATCACATCACCAAGATAAACACAGAGTTCCACCCACCCCCAACACCCGCCCCCCACCCCCATCCCAGCCCCATCCCCCCTCCCTCCGTGCCCCCTCACACCACACACCCCCACCTTCACTGTTACCATGTGAGCTGCCTTCCTATCCTACTCTCATTCTTTACTCCGCTTACCCCCTCCTCTCTCTCTCTCTCTCTCTCTCTCTCTCTCTCTCTCTCTCTCTCTCTCTCTCTCTCTCTCTCTCTCTCTCTCTCTCTCTCTCTCTCTCTCTCTCTCTCTCTCTCTCTCTCTCTCTCTCTCTCTCTCTCTCTCTCTCTCTCTCTCTCTCTCTCTCCTCTCTCTCTCTCTCTTTTCCTCTCTCTCTATATATTGGTGTATATATATATATATATATATATATATATATATATATATATATATATATATATATATATATATATATATATGTCGTACCTAGTAGCCAGAACGCACTTCTCAGCCTACTATGCAAGGCCCGATTTGCCTAATAAGCCAAGTTTTCATGAATTAATGTTTTTTTTACGACTACCTAACCTAACCTAGCCTAACTTTTTCGGCTACCTAACCTAACCTAACCTATAAAGATAGGTTAGGTTAGGTTAGGTAGGGTTGGTTAGGTTCGGTCATATATCTACGTTAATTTTAATTCCAATAAAAAGAAATTGACCTCATACATAATGAAATGGGTAGCTTTATCATTTCATAAGAAAAAAATTAGAGAAAATATGTTAATTCATGAAAACTTGGCTTATTAGGCAAATCGGGCCTTGCATAGTAGGCTGAGAAGTGCGTTCTGGCTACTAGGTACGACATATATATATATATATATATATATATATATATATATATATATATATATATATATATATATATATATATATATATATTACAAATCAACCATGCACAGTGAACATATAAAAGAGGAAAGAATAATGAAAGAAATAATCCGTAAAGGAGTAAAAAGCACTACTCCTAATCAAAACATAAACCTGATAATATTCTACAAAACCAAGAAGACTTCCGAACTCCTTATCAAAAACAGGCCGAAGCCGACGGAGAACCCTCTACAGCAGTCAAGCGTTGTATACATGTACACTTGCCCCCACGAAGGATGTAACCTTCAATGTAAGTACATAGGTATGACGTCGACCAAGCTGACGAGGCGTTTGACATGCCATCTTCAATCTGGTGCCCCTAGGAATCACATGAGACAAGCCCATGACATTACTCTAACCAGAGAAATGTTGAACAAGAATACCTGCATAATAGACAAAACCCAAGATGCAAGAAGATTACAAATTCTTGAGGCAATTCACATAAGAATAGAGCGACCTACCATGAACACCCAAATCACGGAACTATTTACTCTACCCACCATGAGAGTAAGGACAAGACAAGAACATATCGATGCCAACACAGAAGACAATGTCCAACATAATAGGCCAATTACACTGGATTAATCTTTGTGTTTAGATAGGAGCTGCCTCGTATGGGCCAATAAGCCTTCTGCAGCCTCTATGTTTCACCTCACATTTATCCCTTATGTATCCCCCCATGTTTTCACCTTTATTGTATTATCACCTGACCCAGTGCGGGTATAAAATCAACTAGTATTGTAAGATCTGTTCACTTGAGAATGAACCATGGAGGTTCGAAACGTTGTGCAAATTATATAAATAAGTGTAATACACTCTATAGTAAATCACTTCTTTTCTTCTCAAAAGTACGAAAATGAGTTTTGGAGAACTCCTATTTCAATTAAGCCCTGATGCTAAGAAAATAGTTAGAGGGATAGAAGCCCTAAACCAGAAAATAATAAACACAGAATATGCGGTCATATTCAATGAAACATGTTTGAAAGAAAACCTGCTGCCAGTATACACCAATATATATATATATATATATATATATATATATATATATATATATATATATATATATATATATATATATATGCGAACAAGCCTGAATGGTCCCCAGGACAATATGCAACTGAAAACTCACACCCCAGAAGTGACTCGAACCCATACTCCCAGAAGCAACGCAACTGGTATGTACAAGACGCCTTAATCCACTTGACCATCACGACCGGACATAATGAGGTGATAGCCGAGGCTATTTGAACCACCCCACCGCCGGCACTCGGATAGTAATCTTGGGCATAGCATTTTACCAAATCACCTCATTTTTTGGGGCACACGTGGGGAACACAAATGCGAACAAGCCTGAATGGTCCCCAGGACAATATGCAACTGAAAACTCACACCCCAGAAGTGACTCGAACCCATACTCCCAGAAGCAACGCAACTGGTATGTACAAGACGCCTTAATCCACTTGACCATCACGACCGGACATAATGAGGTGATAGCCGAGGCTATTTGAACCACCCCACCGCCGGCACTCGGATAGTAATCTTGGGCATAGCATTTTACCAAATCACCTCATTTTTTGGGGCACACGTGAGGAACACAAATGCGAACAAGCCTGAATGGTCCCCAGGACAATATGCAACTGAAAACTCACACCCCAGAAGTGACTCGAACCCATACTCCCAGAAGCAACGCAACTGGTATGTACAAGACGCCTTAATCCACTTGACCATCACGACCGGACATAACGAGGTGATAGCCGAGGCTATTTGAACCACCCCACCGCCGGCACTCGGATAGTAATCTTGGGCATAGCATTGTACATACCAGTTGCGTTGCTGACTTAATTAACAGGTACCTGTCAACAAGCCCAGCATACTGATAGAGCAGGAGGCATAAGTATACTCTAAACCAGCTTTAGCGTAAAAAAAAAAAAGCCTTTTATGCTGTTTGGCTATTTCGGAGAGCCAGCTCCTTCCCGGTGATGTGTGTTCGTGTGCGTACGGGCGACGACACCCAGACCCGAAGATGGGAATCTAGAGTGTTTTCGCTATTTATATTTCCGCTCGACGCCTCGACTGTTTGCGGGACTCGGCAACAAGACCTCCACCACCACCACCACCACGAGCAGGAGAGGGGGGGGGGGTAGGAGGACAACCACCACCACCACCAACAACAACAGGGGGGGAGGGGGGGTGGGGGAGTATGAGCACAAAAAGCAGTGCGAAGTTACATGCCTTAGTCATTGACTACAGAGCAGCGAGACATTTGGAGTAAACAAATTGTTTATAGCTCTCTCTCCAATTTATATTATCTTCATGCAAGTAGATATTTAATTTAAAGAGGTATTAGAACAAAAACATTAGCGTGTGACTTCAACAGTAAGTAGAGCCGGTCGGCCGAGCGGACAGCACGCTGGACTTGTGATCATGTGGTCCGGGGGTCGATCCCAGGCGCCGGCGAGAAACAATGGGCAGTTTCTTTCACCCTATGCCCCTGTTACCTAGCAGTAAAATAGGTACCTGCGTGTTAGTCAGCTGTCACGGGCTGCTTACTGGGGGTGGAGGCCTGGTCGAGGACCGGGCCGCAGGGACACTAAAAAAAAAAGCCCCGAAATCATCTCAAGATAAGTAGATCCACCTCATCACAGCCTCCACCATCACAAGCTTGCTATATACTGAGCTCTGGAAATATCTGAATACTGAAACACATGAAACAGACCCCACACAGAATCGACTTAAGAATGGTCCAGGACGGACCGAAACGTCGTCGTCCCTTCACCTTCTAGTGTGTGGTCTGGTCAAACATGATGTTATACTTCACCCAGACTCAAGATTAGCTATGTAATGCAACAATCGTGTAATGTATGTGATGTACTCATAACCAGAGAGGGTGTACATGTACTTTAATCATATTATGTGGTTGAGTGCTAGACCCCTCTAACTCTGTCCATGTAGGAGAGCCGAAATGCATTTATCTTGATTAGCATTGTAACTTAATTAGCATTGTAAGAGTACTTCGAGTACGTTCAATTAGGTTATATTGATTGTTGCCGCCGAAGGCAGCTAGTTTATTGTGCACCCCATACTCATCCTGTGAGCGGTAGCGCAAAAGCATTACAGAGGGCACAAAAGGTCTTTATCCGACCTCATCTTAGATTATTACATAAACAATTTCATCTATCCTTCACACCTTATAGTTACAATGTCAGCTAGTTACAGAGAAAGTGCTATTACAAGAGCTACATATTTACAGTAAGTCATCATACATTAATGGTAGGTCTTATCGCTAATACATAATAGTTTGGCCAATGGGGATATTACAGAGTCATAAGGGGAGCTTCTGTTTATTATTAGTCCTCACAATACACTACCTGTTTCTGAATCTCATATGTCGTTAGGTTATAGTGCTCAATAATCCACGATACTACATACTGTAGCAGGCCTACAGTATGTAGTGTCCATGGACCACACACGAAAATTTATATATACCGGTTACCATTATAACTTAACGACAGTGTCTGTGGAAGATAATCAACAGATTAGTCAATTCAACAGAGGTATTAATTTGTTTTCTACCACAGATGTGGCTCTATAGTCATAATGACTTGGCGCTTTTCCCTGATAAGTTGATTACCACAGATGTGGTCATTCATTTTCACTCACTGATATGTATAACACATTCTTAGAAACCTTATAAAGCATTCGTACAATGACGCTGCAAAATGCTTCACATATTCACACCTTAATTGCTAACCTTAAACCCT